GGTATGGGGTCTGCTGAGGCCCAGAGGGAATGGGGATGGGAAGGCGCACGGGGAGGTGTAGGCCGGGCCGCGGCATCCGGTGGGTTCACCCGTGACAGGCAGACCGACCGACCCCCTCCCACCCGTGACAGACAGACCCCTGACAGACTGACGTTCCCCAGGACAGATGGACACCCTTTTCCTGAGAGCGGCTGAGGGCAGCTTTTGCTCCTTCTCCCTCTTCCAGAGCGAACAACGGAGATCGGGCGGCTGATCAGCTCCTACCTGGGGAAGGAGAAGAACCTGGAGGACCACACCATCCACCTGCTCTTCTCCGCTAACCGCTGGGAACACGTGTAAAGATGATTGTTACCTTTTAAAATAAAAATGCGTGGCTTGAATCCTCCCGGGGTTTTAGCTTGCAGTGGGTACTGAAGGTATGAGAATATGATCCTGTTTAGCAAGGGAAACGTGGCTGGAAGCGATGTCTTAAGGACTTTGGATTTAATCGTAGATCAGATCCCACCATTTGTTTTTTTGAAATCATTTGGTGCAATATTTCCAGTTCCTGTACCTGGATTCAGGAGTTGAGGAGCTGACACTGTACCAGCCTGGGCTGTGAATGTGATTTCTTTACTGAATCAAGAGACCTTGCTTTGCAAGGAAGTCTGTGCGAGTGACAGAGTGATTAAGGAGTACTGTCCAAACTTGCCCTCAAGCCGAAGGCTGTGTTCAGTCATAAGTTGCTCTCCTTGCTTTTGTCCCAGATCTTCACGTGTGGAGCTAGGGAAATCGGTGTTGGCTGTTGTTTGTACCTGGAAATCTATATTGCAAAATGGTTTTCATTTAAAAAAAAAACAAACACAACAACAAAACATTGCTGATTCTGCTGTAGTGGGGGTGCCAAGCACACTGGGAAAGTGTAAGGTAGATGAGTGAGCTGTAATAAGAAATGTCATGAATAAAGGATACTTCTCTGACCAAGGCGGAGTGTATCACAAATGTATTGCATCACTTGGAAACAGAGGAGGACTCAGCTGTTCTTGTCTGACTGTAGTGCAGGAGCTGCCCAGAGCAGTGCCCTGCACTGAGGGACCCTGAACTTGAGTGTCTCGAGAAGGAATTTGCTTACTGTCTGTTAGAGGACAGAATACACATGGCTGTTTATCTGCCACCAGCATCACAGATAACCACACTGCTAATGATCGCTGCTTATGATGAGGACCCTTGACAGAGAAGTACTGGCCTCATGAGCTGTCTTTTAGATGAACTCCTTTCATTTGTATTGCTATAAAGAAGTGTAACTATTTTTTTTCTCACCTGGTTTTCAGACCACTGATGAAAGAGAAGCTACATCAAGGGGTCACGCTCGTGGTTGACAGATACGCCTTTTCAGGAGTGGCCTTCTCAAGTGCCAAAGAGGTGAGCAAGCCCAACAGCAGCCCCTGGCCCTCTCTGTGTTTGGGGAAGCAGCTCCAGTTAGAGCCCTGATACAGATGTGGGTGTGCATGGCCCAGGCTCCTCCACTGGGGAAACGAGGATTGGAATTGAGGAATAGAAGTTTTAGCTCAGGTATTGACATGGTTTGTTTGCCTGGGCCTACTCCTGCCCCAGAAAGAGCAGAAAAACTAATTTGGTTACTTTTTGTAAATCTGGACAGACTCCTGACAGTGGGAATGCTGGCCTGTTTGACGTTGGAGAATGATTATGCAAATTTGAGATTCCCCATGCTTGCTCTGGCTGCTGGCCCATAAATTTGTGAAGAATAACAGAACCACGAATGTTGGAAGGAACCTGTGGAAGTCAGGAAGCCCAAGCTTCTGCTCAAGTGTTTGTCTAATGTCAAGCAGGATGCTTGGGGCCACATCCAGTGAAGGTTTGAGTATCTCCAAGGATGCAGATCCACAGCCTTTCTGGGCTCTTCTTTCAGTGTTTGCTCACCCTCATAGTAAAAATTATTTTCTTTATTTAGCCTGAATTTCTCACTTTCCTGCTTGGGCTTTTTTGCCTGTCTCTGCTTTGAAGACAAATGGGCTCTGCCAGCCTCCCTTCGGGTCATTCTGTACAGCTGTAAGATTCTCGTTCTTGTGCTGCGAGGAGGCTGTCCTGGAAGATCAGCCAGCTCTCCTGGGCCTCTTTGCCTTCCATGTGAGTTTCCCAGGACGTCCTGCTAAGAGGTCCCTAATAAACAGAAATCTGCTCTCCCAAAGTCCACACTGGTGTTTCTGTTTGTCTTGTTGACTCCTCTGCACATTTTAAACCACCGCCTCATGTTTGCTGCAGCCAAGGCTGCCCTTGACCTTCACATCTTGAACCAGTTCTTCCTTGCTTGTTGAGTAACAAATCCATAAGGGCACCTCCCCTCACTGGCTTAGCAGTCACTGTGGCAAGAATTTCTTCAGTGTGCTCCAGAAACCTGGATTGCTTCTGCCCAGCAGAGAGGTGGGTGGTTGAGATCCTCCACAAGTACCAGGACCTGCAGTTGTGATCCTTCTTCCAGCTGAAGGTTCCTCAACATCCCTTCTGCAACCAGGCAGTCTGGAGCAGGTCTCACCCCAACATGACTCCTGTTACACTGGCTCAGTTGTGCTGCTTTCAGGTGAGCCTCCATGATCATATTGTCCTCCAGACGCTTCCTCCTGGCCTCCCATCTTCAGTTCTCTACAAAAGCTCCCTTCACTGCCTCAGCAAGCCAGTTTGCATAGATACATCTGACAAAG